CAGTATGTTATTAAAACCAACTGCGTTTCGCAACAATTTTGAATTCTTACAAAGTTGTAAAATGTTGCTGAATGAAATGCGAGCCTCTTATACTTAATTCCCACGTTCACGTTGCGACGTATTTCGTGAAAGTATTCACGTTCGCGCGTCACGTAAGCCGACTAAATGTGAAGCCGTATATTGCACGATAGCATCTATATTTAGTTCATATTATTTATTACTTATATGTTTTACCGTGGTTTTACCCTATTCAATGTTTTTATTAGAGAATTACTTATTATGAGAAGGGAAACTGATAATCTTTTCATGTAAAAAGTAGTTTATTCGCGAAATATATGAAACTTATTTATAATTTATTTTAACGCCCGACATTTCGGATATTTTAGTAGGGTTACGGGGGGGACCAAAGATGGAGGGTGTCCCTAATGTCAATGTAGAATGTACTACACTAGCGCCATCTGTTCGTCGTAGTTGTTATTTAGAAACTGACTGGTGTTCTCTTGTCTACCGGTATGCTGTTTTTATTGGGATTATTTAGGATCTAGTATTTTTAATATTAGATCCCAGGTATTTGATATCTTGGGGCCGTCCTGCCTATTGAAGTTTGGGTGTTTCTTAATTTTAATTCTACTTTTATAATGATTTTTGGCTGATGTCGTGATTGGATCCTTCAAATAATACCGTAGATTTGAAGAGAGTTTTATCTTATTTTTTAATGTTTTTATAAATGAATTACTTATTATGAGAGAGGAAATTGCTTTGTTACTTGGCGTTAAGCCTTACTGTTGTATTTATCTAAGTCCTACTAAATCTATGGCGATTAGTTTAGATTATAACTTCAGTCACGCAACCTAAGACACGCACATTTCAAAAATGGAATCCTCAAACTTTAGTTAGAAAGATTTCATTTTTAGTTATTCGTTTAGTTTTGTCATTTTTAGTTTAGTTACTTGCTGTTAGAAACGTTAGAAATTCATATTTACTTCACCATTACGTGTTCCGCAATTCTCACAAGATATTCCCACCCTTCTCTTATTATCTCACTTTACAAAACGCAAGTGGCACTAAGCCGAGTATTATGTTAACTACTTGAATTAATGTGCACTTCAGTGGGTCGTTACCAAACGTAATATCAGATTATGTGAAATTTTAAGAGTCATGATATCTAACAAGGTAGGGTCTCGCTGTGTCATGATCTTAGCATATTAACCTTAATATCTCACATTACTTTTTGACGTTACTGATAAGCTACCTCTAGGGATATCGACCGTCTTACAAACGGTCGTAAGTTCCATATCGGTCGTAAACCAATGGCTTCGACGATGGAAACATCGTATCAACATCAGCTTGACCTATTGTCATCTGCCAAGACACATTTGGCCGGCATTGTGGAATTGCCTATATACTCTCTGTATGAGCTGATAATGATTTTGCTGATGGGGTTGTCCATGCAAACATGAGCGACGCGTTTTGGAATCGATTCACAGACTTTGTAATCATATCACGAACGTCGTGAAAGTTGTTACACATTTTGGTTTACACAAAGTAGGTCGACATCGCATTTTAATTTGATTGTTAAAAGGAGTATTGAAGACTATTTTTACTGAATACCATGCTACCATGCATGACTTATTTAAATTTGCCTGTTTGATTTGCACTCGTGCAGATCTGCTTTCTGAATGCCAATGTTTAACTTTCTGTTTAAAATGTGTGAAGTATTGAAGTTTAATTTTATTTGTATATACATGATTGTAATATAATGCTTATGAAAGAATTATAGTTTGCTGTGAATATTCTCAAGAATACCTAACAATTAACGAAATGTGTAGTATTATAAATTAGTATAATATTAATAATTGCATAAAATTGTGATTTTAAATACCGATGTAAAGATGGATATTGATATAATGATTTTTGCTTATACGTTTCGACTATTCTACTCACTTTAAATATTCTTTTATTTAAAAAGTATCTAATCAAAAGACCAAAAGACCAAAAACAAAATACACATCAAAACTGTCTATTTATATTTAATATCCTGAGGGAAGAATATTAAAAAACTGTTAAACTTCCATGTAATTGATATTTATATACACATCATTATATCATACACATATTCTGAAATATATGACAAAAGATTTGGTAAGATAACAGTAGTAATAGATATCTGAATCTTTCGATAAACTTCTAGAAGTATAATATATTTTTAAATTACCTTCACTATATATGGAGCAGGGGTATAACTAATGAAACCTGACCACACCCAATATAAGTTGGAGTAAATAAGGAAATATCGAATTGCGCAGAGTGATGGACGATGGTATCAAACAAAAATGGCTGCCAATCGCACTCAGTGTCGGATGACTAATGGTTCTTGGATTTTTACGAGATGCGGTACTTTTTTTAATGAACTGTTCCAGAATAAATAAATGGAAATATTAAAGAAGTCTGTCGTAAAAACTTTGAAGAAATTACGTAATCGTCAATGTCCTATGTAAGTGGGAGTAGCTGGGACGCAGAAACAATTATATTCAACCAGGCCGGGCCTAACAATGCCTTTGTACTTTAAATTAATAAAAAAAAAATGAAACATATTTCTACGAAAAAGACAAAGAAAATATACGTAATACGTAAATACAATAATATAGTTTTTATTAATTTCAAATTGCCTAGCAAATTAAAATCATTTAAAAATCTATTTAGAACCGGAAACATCGATGACACGGACGGGACTTCAACCGACAACCACAATCCTGCTATTACCAATTGAGTTATCGTATCTCACACGCCATCGTCGCTGGCGCAGTATAATTTCAATTTCCGAATCATCTTTTTTTTAAATCTTGATAGATATTTAAAAGCAATTTTGGTAGTCAACATTTAAATAGAACACTTTTAGATGTCCAAAACGCGAAATCTAGTATTAAACTCATTCTCGCCGTAAAAACTGCAAAGCACTCAAAACGTCGGGTTGTAGTTAATAAAAGTTAACTTACTTAACATTTCGCATTTTAAACCGGAATAAGCGATTTATTGAAATGCGTGATACGAATCTAAGAACAAGATACGAACAGTGCGTTTAGTACGACTTAGCAGAACTTTGAACTGTTTGTTTTACAAACGCACAATTCATTTATTTTTATACTACGTAACATACATTAACTTACATAAGCGAACGATCTTCCATATTTGTAAACAGGTCCCGATCATTGTTATCTCTGCCACTGTTGTTGTAAGTTATTTATTTAGTATTTTAGAAACTATAGTAATCATGAAAATGTAATAAATTTAAATATGAAAGCAACATATATCCTCTATATAACTCACACACACAAAAACTCGTAAAAGTTATGCTACCGTTTCTGTACTGTCACTAAACCAATATGACCGTGTTAGAGCACTAAAGGGTATTTTTATTAAATCTAAAAGCATTTAGGCCGGCACGTGCTCCAATTAAACAATGAGGTCACGAAACAGACAGAAGATCGATCTAGTCTAGAAATGTCTACAAAATGCCATGTTTCGCTATTTAGAACCGGAAACATCGATGACACGGACGGGACTTCAACCGACAACCACAATCCTGCTATTACCAATTGAGTTATCGTATCTCACACGCCATCGTCGCTGGCGCAGTATAATTTCAATTTCCGAATCATCTTTTTTTTAAATCTTGATAGATATTTAAAAGCAATTTTGGTAGTCAACATTTAAATAGAACACTTTTAGATGTCCAAAACGCGAAATCTAGTATTAAACTCATTCTCGCCGTAAAAACTGCAAAGCACTCAAAACGTCGGGTTGTAGTTAATAAAAGTTAACTTACTTAACATTTCGCATTTTAAACCGGAATAAGCGATTTATTGAAATGCGTGATACGAATCTAAGAACAAGATACGAACAGTGCGTTTAGTACGACTTAGCAGAACTTTGAACTGTTTGTTTTACAAACGCACAATTCATTTATTTTTATACTACGTAACATACATTAACTTACATAAGCGAACGATCTTCCATATTTGTAAACAGGTCCCGATCATTGTTATCTCTGCCACTGTTGTTGTAAGTTATTTATTTAGTATTTTAGAAACTATAGTAATCATGAAAATGTAATAAATTTAAATATGAAAGCAACATATATCCTCTATATAACTCACACACACAAAAACTCGTAAAAGTTATGCTACCGTTTCTGTACTGTCACTAAACCAATATGACCGTGTTAGAGCACTAAAGGGTATTTTTATTAAATCTAAAAGCATTTAGGCCGGCACGTGCTCCAATTAAACAATGAGGTCACGAAACAGACAGAAGATCGATCTAGTCTAGAAATGTCTACAAAATGCCATGTTTCGCTATTTCCAGAGGCTTGCATAAATGTTATATTATCTACTAGTTGTGCCTGCGACTTCGTCCGCGTAGAATAGTTATTTTGGGCGTCAAAATTTGTTTTTGCAAACTTCTATCCTCCTTCATTTAAAACTGTTGTCCATGATGTCGGCCGTGTCCCGTCGATATTGTGTAAATCTGGAAAGATATACTGTCACGGACATTTCAAACCAGAAGGATCATTCTTGTATACAAATTGTTTTGTTTCTTGAGCCGTTTTTGCAGCGTGCCCAACAGAAGCCCTTAAAACTGAATAATTTCGCGATATATTAGTTAAACGTATTTGAAAAATGATTTTTAACTTTGGCCCGACGTTTCGGCTGCTGTCCCATGTCTCCTCGTGACCACGGCTGCTGCGAAGCATCCGAAATGTCGGGCCGAAGTTAAAAATCATTTTTCAAATACGTTTAACTAATATATCGCCATTTAAATCGTTAAAGTGTTTTATTTAAATGTGTACTACTCGTATTAAGTATTTAATTTCGCCCTTTTTTCACATTTACTGGCATTTATTGGAAATGTCCGCGATGTAGTTCAGTTCCAGTATACAAAATTTCAATGATCCGTAAGTATAGATAGGAAATCGTTTTTAACTATGTATTTTGTTTCAGAATGAATGCCTACATGCAGCTGTTACGGCGTTGACAAAAAATCAAGCCGAACAATACGACAAATATCATTGCTTGTGAGTATAAAAGTGATTATCTTAAATACTTTATGGTTATAGGTCCAAGACCAAAGCATTCATTTCAATATAATTTCACTTATATGTATACAATAAATTATATTCGTATATTTATAGAGAATTAATCTTTAATCAGTAAAAACAAGTATCGCAACTACTACAAGTGGCCGTAAATAGTAGTGGCAAAAAAATATTTCCAATATTACAAATATTTCGTTTCTTTGATATTTTTAATTAAATTAATACGATTGTCGCATATCTCACTCGACGTTTATTCCATCAAATTGATTTAATTGGAGCATTATTGGTAAAAAAATAACAGTTTTATTATTTGTGTGCTTGGCCAACCGAATTTACCAAAAGCGTTAACTCGTTAGCGAAATAAAACCACGAAAAACCTACAGTATCGAAACGATGCGCGGCATTTTGTGAAATTATAAAATATAAAGCTGTGGTCTTTTATAAGCGCCGCATGTTGCGAACTGTAATACGTTATGTTTAATTATTAAAATGTCGGCACTGTTGTTGTCTCCCTCACACGCTATCGTAGAAGTAGGCAAATTTAGTAGGTATTTTAATTTACTGCAGTGTCAGTGTCGACTTTGACGTAAAAACTGCTTATCGGCTACTGTTTAAAAATATCTTGACACATACTTGTTACGCTGCTATTTTTATACAAAACAAGGACGAAGACAATTCGAGTGGTGGATGGTTCACTTGAAGGTCAAATACCCTTATAACATCTGAACAAAAAGAAAATTAAATATCCAGATTCCAACCAAAGCCAAGAAAATGTCGACTTCAAGTGTAAGCTATGCTTGTCTATCCTACTCTATTATAAAAAGATAAACCAGGTAAGGAACCCAGGACTCGTTGATTACCATACATTGCAACCATTAAACTAGCGAAGCGTTTGTTTCAGGAGTGCGTTCAGTTTGTGGGAGACCAAAGCGTTACACCAATTGGATTGCAGACGCGAAAATATTAAACACTACCTATGCCCGTGACTTCGTCCATGTGGAATAGTTATTTTTGTCATCAAAATTTGTATTTGCAAACCACCTCCTCTTTCTCTGTTCACGACGATATCGTCGGCGTCCTCTCGTCCTTTCAAAGTAATCTAAAAAGATAGACATATACTATCGGTCTACTTTTCACATTATTTAAAGAAGAATTATTCTTTCATATGTCGTTTTGGTCTTTTGACTAATCAAAGATAAAAGTTTTCCTCGCTTTTTCCACATTTCCCTCGTTTCTTCGGTTTAAGGCTTCCTCGATAAATGGTCCAACAACAACACAAAAATAAATTTTCAATTCGAACGTTAGTTCCTGAGATGAGCGCGTTCAAACAAACAATCTATTCAGTTTTATAATATTAGTATAGATTTTATACAATCAAACGAACGCTTTCGGACGAGCAATTAAGAAATTCGCTGCGCATCAGCTCGACTATGAATTCTGAATGTTAATTGTCATTTCATCGCGGATTCATATGAAATGATAAATTCTGATTGAAATGTGAAAATGCGAATGCTTCCAATGGTTTTAATATCATATCTAGGCAGAGTACAATGTATGATTGAAAATTTTTAATCGTCTGGTTATTTTAAACATAGCCATACGTTTCACTTGTCACTGTGTGGCGATGCAAAAAAGGGATAACGTACATATTTTTGTTCCCGTTCCCCCTCGTGGGGAATGGGGCCATAGAGTTCTGTGTTTGTTTCACTGATCGGTTTTAATTGCCCGACCGAAATAATTTAGTGTTTCGCGCTTAACGCAATGCTAGGCAATACGTTTAACCATTTAGCTACAAATGTTATAAAGCTGAAGAGTTAGTTAAATTGTTTAAACTCGCTAATCTCAGGAAGTATTCTTATCTAATATCGAATTGATAAATAAGAATAATTTTTGTGTTGGATAGATCATTTATCAACGGCTTTAGACTATATAATTTCACGCTACGGTACATTTCAATTCACCTTTGAGGGCATCCGTTGCGTTAGCTGCTAAAACTGTTCAAAAAACAAAAAATCTGTATGAAAAATTATTAACTTATCGCTCTAAACGTTTTTAAAATTGGTTCGAAATTAATGTTTTATTATAAATTACCTACTTGGTAGAGTATCATTGCAAACAACAAAACAACGTTTACCGGATCAGCAAGTAAACTATGAATTATCTAAGTAAATATATATTTAATATAATACTTTTAAACAGTTAATATTTACGTCCCATTCATGTAATCTATACATAACACTAAACTATATTGCTGGAAAGGATTCACTTATACTGTGAAAATTTTAAAGTCTATTATTAGATATTTTAAAATCATAACGTTGTTTTTGTATGTGTTGCAAAAATATAATAATAGACAATTCATTATTTTTTAAGATTCAAAGTTTTTCGAAAAATTGGTCAAAAACATGTGTATATTTAGTTCGTAAAACATGTGAATTTATTCGATTGTCACTCGACGTAGGTGCATAGAAGCACAAAAAAATTATTTCATTTTCGTGGCCGTTTTACTGATTAGACTTATGTGCCCTACCCCACCGAAACAAACTATTGTTTCCCCGAGATTCAAACTCAGGACCTCTCAAGCTTCTCGTAAGACTCGACAACACGTTTAATTATGCCTACCGAGGCGGTACAGTAAGAGAAACCCACACTTTATTATTTGCCTCTAGAATTTTCTCTTCAATTTTGCCTTTTCATATCTTAAAACAGTGATAAGCCAGTATTATTCTAGAGCTGATAAAACTTGAATCATACTGTAAGGAACTGTTTTCTAAGAATATTTTTAAAGTAAGCTCTTCTTCAATGCAAAACAACGCTTTATTCTTTGCGATAGTTTAAATTGTGAGATTTTAATCTTGGTTTTCATTTTCAGTCTAGAAACATTTTAGGTTGCCTTTTTTACGGGCTTACCTTGTATTTAGGTCGTCCAAAGCAACTTTAACTTGAAGATCCCAAAAAGCACAATAACTATTTATATTATTTTGCACAGTGATATAACTTTTTCCTTGTATGGCCTGACGCCCGTAGATTTGTTTCAGTTTTATTAATTACTTTTATTCACAAATAAGTAGTACCAAAGCCATAATAGGTCGACCGCGCATTTTGTGAGATGTTATGTGGCCGGGCTCACCTTCGATCAAGTGGTCCCCGTGCTTGTCTGTCCTCCATGATCGTAAAAAAGTTGTGATTAAAAAATTATTAATTAATTATCAATTTCTATTGCAGTAATTTGACGATACGGGCAGAAATTGAATCGGCATTCACAGCGCTTCCATATTGCTTTGACAATGGAGCTGCCATGTCCACGGAACGGTCAGGACGCCAGTTCAAGTCCTGCTCGTGTCATTGCCTTTTACAATATAAATAGATTTTTAATTTATATAATGCGTATATTATTTTCAAAAATATATCCTTTCCAATTTGAAAAGGATATATGTATATAGCTCTTTCCCCTAGTTTCAAATCCAGTAACTCTCGGACTTAAAGTAGCATACAATGACGTGTTAACTCTTTGTCCTACGGTTATGATCTCAGAATTAATGTAGTAAAGTATTAAGATTACAAACCTATTTTTATAAACAAACGGTTTAATAGATATATACTTACTACTTAGTTAAACTAAATGCCTTGCAACAGCCGTGAAACGTCAGGCCGTGGTCAAAAATAATTTCAAATAAGTTTACTAATATATCGCGTTTTAAATCGTTAAAGTGTTTTATTTAAATGTGTACTACTCGCGTAAACTACAGACAGTATTTAACCTATTTTGAATATTTATTTTCAATCACTACTGATAGTATTTGGTTTCAGGCGAAGATTACCTGACGAAGTGAAGACGTGTAGGAACTATGCTTATTTACAAGAGATATATGACGCGGTACGAGCTACGGACAGTAAGTAATTTCCTATATTATATTTACCATAACATTATTCTTAGTATTAATTAGTAAATCAAGTAATGTTGTACAATATTATAACGCGTCTCAGGAGACTACTGGTTTGAATTAAAACATTGTTTTCTTGTTGGTTAGGGCAAAATCAACCACACAAAAAATACAGCTACTACAAATTGGAACGAAGAAATCGTGGCAAATGTGGAAAATACTGTCGCATTTTTCTAGATTATTTTAAAGAGACATCATTAAATTATTTTCGCTTTTTTTTTTGGTTTCGCGAGCCGATTTCGCTGTGCATGCAAGGGAAGAGAAAATTTAATAATTTTCCCCGTTTTTCCCAGATTTTCCAATGTTTCTTCGCTTTTATTGATCGCAGCGTGTTGTTTTATAGTTTAAAGCCTTTTTCGATAAACGGTGTATGCATCGCAAAAAATATTTTTTTCAATTCGAACTGAGATAAGCGCGTTCAAACAAACAAACTCTTTGGCATTATAATATTAGTATACATAAACTTTAAGGACGGATCAGTTACTCAAGGCGCAATTGTTTTTAAATCCTCTCAACTACCGAGTCCTGTAATCGGCCTAAATTCTGAAAGCCCAATGCCTCCAATTTTTGCCTTAATGAAGCTAACGAACTTGCCACTTGATAAAAAAAACTTCGCGAACTTCGTAAATATTTTATTTTCCCAACTTTGTCACGGCGAAGTGGAAATTTGAATAATAAAAGCAATCGAGTTCATTTGTCAAAATAAAATTCGGTTTTCTGTGGTCGTCTTTTATTTAATTTGATACATTAGAGAGTGACTAAAATGTTTTAATATACACAAAGATAATCTAAGAATTATCCTCTTATGAAGAGTTTACCTTTACTTACCTTAAACTAGATACTACTTCACAAAATATATATTAAAATATAAATAGTACAAAATTTCTTAAATGAATAATTAAATAACTGGTATACCAAGGAAAGGCTCTTCATAGAGAACATTTTGTAGGATAAAACGAGATACACACAGATCAGATATTTTTCGCTAATTCAGTAGAAATATAGGACGGAAATGAAATAACTGTTCGCCTTAATTAATAAATCATACGCATTGTATATTTTATAATCTAACGGTAATCTCTCTAACCTTATTTCTTTTATGTTTATTGTAGAACGTTTAGATTTTCTTTTAAAACGATAATTAGGCATAAACAAATAAATAATGGAATATTTTCAAAAAAAAATCTTCTTACCGAGGTTTTATTTTGTCTTGTTTTTCAATTACTAAAACAGTTTTTTACATACATTTTCTAAATATAAAATAAAGTGATACAACTCCTAAAGCCACTTAGCACAACACTGATCTCCAAAAAAAGAAATGTCATATTTAATATAAAAGTAAAGCTTACCTTGCACATAAATAAGCTTAGCTATCTCATTATTAGTAAAGGCCAACACACACTTAACCGTGAACCAGGTCAGTTCTCCGCCCTCGTATCTATTGTTTGAGAGGTAAAACAATAGAATACCACGCTGCAACAATTCTGACCTTGTTGTAACTTCAACCCAATTAGCACACTTCAGCACACTTTTGTGTAATTTTTAATGCACAAGCCATTTACGTCACTTTTATCATTTAGAAACAAAATGTCATATATCCTTTTCCATAGAAATTCCAACGAAATTTGGTTACCATAAAAACGGTGTTTGTGAGTAATCTTAAAAGATAAAAATAATATGTTACAAATATTGTTTTAGATCATTTAAAGGAGAATAATTCTTCCATACATATTTTTGGTACCTTAAATCGTTTTCGCAACAAATGCAACGGAAACCCTGATATGAACAATTTTCCCCGTTTTCCCCCATTTCCTACTTTCACTTTTAGTCGCAGCGAGATGTTATAATAGCCTAGCCGCCTTCCTCGATAAGTGGTTTATCCAACATAAATAATTGTTCAATTCAAACCAGTGGTACCTGAGATTACTGCGTTCAAACAAACAAACTTTTCAACCTAATAACATAAGTATAGATGTATATTTGAAACTTCTTTATGTTCGTTTAGGGCTTTGTTTTAAAAACTGTATATTTTTTGTACCTTATCTTACTACATAATAAATTAGCATATTGTATTTAAATCAGAGAATTTATGTTTCTCAAAATGAATAAATACATTCCTTGACAAGACATTCGCTATACCATACTGAAAATTGTATAATATATTTATTAATTTATTTCTGTTGCAGGTGTATGCACCAAAGACTTTATAGCGAAACTAGGGGAATATTTAATTTTAACGGCGTTTTCTCACAACTGTCGCCTGGAGCGAGCTTTCAAGTGCCTGGGCACGAATTTGACTGAATTTCTTACTACATTAGACAGTGTGCACGACGTCCTACACGACCAAGTAAGGTTTTTTCGTCTGAAGGGTAGAGTTACACAGAGTAAAGCTTACAAAAGTAGTAGGCATTTAAAGAATTTCCTTTAAACGGTTTGAAACGCGAAATATTAGTTACTTATGTTTCATTAATTTGAACTACGGTCTGACATTTCGTACGCTTTCTGACAGTACTCTCCCCGTGACCACAATTAAATTAAAAATATTTTAACAAATATATTTCGCGTTTAAAACGCTCAAAGCTGATTTATTTAAATGTATGTTGCAATAGCTATATGTTTTGGTCCAGTATATGTGTATAAATAATACCCAACAGTAGTTGGTTCGATTCCCAAGATATATATTTATGTAAAAATATTTAATTCCTCTTAATAATGTTGTTTACTAGTTTTACTCGGGTGCGTTTGGAATTAAAAAAAAACTTTTTCTTCAAGGATGACGTGTTCAAAGACGAAAGCACAGAAACAGAAGCGGCTTTCGTCTGTACATCACACGCTGGCAAAATACAGCTTCACCTGACCACAGAGAGTGAACCAGTGGCTTATATGCTCGTTGGAAGTCTGCGGGCGATCGCAAGGCTTCTGTATGACACACACGCGGAGATAAGACTGATGAGCTATACCAACGATCCTAGAAGATTTAGGTAACAGCTTGATAAGCTAAATTAATAAATACTGTCTATAGTTTACGCGAGTAGTACACATTTAAATAAAACACTTTAATAGTTTAAAACGCGATATATTAGTTAAACTTATGTGAAAATCATTTTCAACTTCGGCCCGACGTTCAAATAAGTTTAACTAATATATCGCGTTTTAAACCGTTAAAGTGTTTTATTTAAACGCTAAATTATTGTTCATTACATGTTATTCAATGTTACCTTTATTTTAATGATAGGGGAGGACAGCTAAGCATATGGTTCACTTATTTTAAGGGAAATACCCCAGCCATATATCATCCTAACCAGATGTGATGTCGAACTATCTTGGCTTTGGACCTTATATTAAAACAAAGCCTTTTTTAAATAAAATTAAGACAACCAAGTGTAATTACTAGAAGCCTGTCGGTAATTAAGTTCGAGTCACGAACCTAGACTGTGTCTACAGCTGAAAAAGCCTTGAAATTTATTTGCGTTTCGGTTTCAGTCTGAATATTTCCGAATATCCAAAGCCAAAATAGGCCAACAGCACATCTTGTTGAAATTATATATGGCTAGGGTATTTTCTTGTCTATTAATTTCTATTCTAATAAAAAAAACACATTTCGTCACCACTATAAAATGGATCCAAATGTATGGATGGAACTGTACATCATTATTGATCTTCGATCAAGACTTACGTTTGTACTTTTTCAAATTATAGATTACTCTAAACACTTATGTATTATTATTATTTAATTCTTTATTGCAACACATAGAAAATACGTTTTTTTTGCATTTACTACGTATAACAAGTAATTTATTAAATGTAGTAAGGAAAGTTCTGCTTAACTAATCTTTATTAATTACTATTGATCTGAAGTGATTTAGCCGTTCTAAGCTTTCGGGATGTAGTTAATCTACGGATTTGCTACATACTAATCATTATGTATGCACATAACCTCAATTTCTAAGTCTTAATGAAAATTAGACGCTTTGATATTCGTCAAAGAAGTCAGTAGTTTTCTTTTGAGGCATGGGGAAAAAGACGGACATATTTTTGTATCTGCTTCACTCATCGATTTTATTTACAGTCAAGTATATGTAGGGCACCTCCCAATCGAAGTAAGGGACCGAATGTAATTTATTGTTTCCCCGGGATTGGAACCCAGGATCTCTCTTAGGTAATACTTGTATGATGGATGCCGATTAAATGTCCGCCTTGTTTTATTTATAATTTTTTATTAATTCGTTACTAATCAACTACTTATCCGTAAAGCAATTCGAGCAGCGAAACGGACACAGCGATGTGTTCGCCCCATACCCCACAGGGGGACGGGAATTTAGTATGCGGAAATCATTGATGACTGCCGCGTGTTGAAACAGACTAATTGTATTGCTTTCGGGTGATAAATTACGCGTCGAATCCACCGCAATTCGCGACAGTGACAGATTTTGTATGTGTGCCTGGCCCATTATCGATGTGTAATTTGCGACGATTTATTCCGAGTCAACGCTTCGCTTATTGTCCTAGTATCTAACATTTGCTAAGTGAATAACGTATTTTACTGTTTAATAACTATATAGGGGTAACGTACCACAGTCCACAGATGAAAAATTCGTGAAGTTTAATCGTGGCTCGTTTCTGTCTGTTGATTTTCGAATATCCGACTAAATAGGTCGATAGCGCATCATATGTACGTTATATTTTTTTAATTTTTATTAAGTGAACCCCCCATGTTTGTCTGTCCCCTCTATCATAAAAAAATTAGTGCTACATTTTTTTTAAGTTACTAATATTAAAAAAATATATGTATAATCTTTCCAATAATCCAAGCAAGCAATACATTGTTTAAAAAATTGGTCTATATCAAATCAAGGACAATAAATCTTTTATTTTTTTGTCTAGTTTAGTAGTAGATATTACACGTTAGTATTTGTGTGCGACTTATAAGAAATCTCAAAAATTGCTTTTCTCTAACAACAAAAACTGGAAATAAAATCTTTATTTAAGGGGAGCCTTTCAATGAAGTAGAGTATTATTTGCCTATTTTTAATCGCCAGCGACAAGGCAATAAGATTAACGAAAAAATATATAAAGATTACATAATTAATTTATGTGCCTAGACAATGGTGCGTACGAGAACCGATTCACACTTCGCCAATTCTAATTAATTTTAACTTAATTCGACATTTACCAATCAAATCGTCCACAGATACGAAATAAGCGCAGTGCCACTGCACCAAAAATCGAAACAGGAGAACTGTGAAACCCAGAACGAAGCGGTCTCCGTGGCGGCTTCGACAAACGTCAACGATCTCAAGATAGGTGTTGCCAGCTTCTGCAAGGCGTTCCCGTGGCATTTCGTGACAGACAGGCGTCTGGAATTAGTTCAATTAGGTGAGCAAATTACATTATTAACATGACAATGGTGGCAATTACTGAGTTAAACTTGGGTTCATTATAATGTGGCGCTCACGTTATATTACTCATGTTAAGGTACAATAAATTATTGTATAAACAGTAACAAAGTTAAGATTGTTGGTTCATGTTCCATTTCTTTTAATCTACACTAATATTACAAAGCTAAATAGCTTGTTTTAAATCGCTCATCTCCGGAACTGCTGGTTCGAATTATTTGGTCTTGGATAGATTATTTATTGAGGAAGGCTTTAGGCTTTTTTATGACGATGCGATCAATAGAAAATAAAATGTGAAAAATGTAGAAATAGAAAAAAAATCTATGACAGTTATATTTTTTCTCTATCTTTTAAGATCACTACAACCGTCTTTACGGTAATCAAATTTAATCAAAATAATTCATGTAGCAAAAGAAGGACCTGATTTCTATTGCTCATATTAAGGTGTAACAACAAGACCATTGTGGTCCTTAGTTCACGTTCAGTCTGTTTCTGCCAATGGAAATATGTTATTTGCTTTTAATAAGCACAAAAAATTAAATAGATTGAACTTTCTATATGTAAGCACGGCAAAAGAAAAGTTTTTTTAAGCTACTATAACTACAGGCGTCCCAATCTCTTTCCTCAGTGGTCAATTAATAGTAACAGTTTTCCACTTAGGTACTTCATCTTATATCAAGTATGCCAGATGCTTGTTTTTGCTCTTTTATATAATTCTATTTAGTTAAGAAAAAAACATTGGCACAGGCGGGCCTTGATCCTGCACCCTTCCTTCTTCTGTCGCAAGATAAAAAAATACAACTCAAACAACTACAGCTATAACTTATGAAACGTTTTAGGGGAAGCTTCAAAAAGCTCGTGCCAAAACAAAGAGCACAGATAACAAACAGTTCTATAAATCCTAAAACCTGTGCATCAATGTCAATGTTACGTGAATAATCCTGAAATTGGATGTGAGCCTTTGCAAAAGTTTTCGTGGCATTTACTCGGAACTGACAGACGTTTGGAATTGGTTCAATTAGGTGGGTAGGTGGATGTTTTCGTAAACCTGTGGTTTCAAAGACAAGAGCAAACAGATTTCATTCGGCATTGCGCGTTATGCTACGTCACGCGTCGTCTACTACAACTCGTCTGTATTGGTATATTGTAAGGAATTTTAATACGCTAAAACATGTTTCGTATGAGCATATATAGCTCTCAAGACATATAGATTCTTAATATTAAAGAGCGTAATCCATGATATATAAAGAAAATCACAATCTTAGGTGGTACATTGAAGATTTCGTAAACCTATGGTTTCAAAGGATAGGAAAAACCTGATCGCGTTCAACATAACGCGTTTCGCTACGTCACGCGTCACGCTAACTATTTGACCGTATTTATCTGTGGTAAAGACATTCAATGCGCCAAGAAGATATCCTGTTTGCAATTGTAGTCAGCAAAACAATTTTCGCGTAAAATTTTGAATTATGATTAGAAGTAACACAGTGGTGGCTCAGGTAAAAAAAAAACTAATTTTCTGACTGTGTATCAATAAAAATGTAATAAAACTCGAAAGAAGAGACAGTGTGAAGTTGGTATTCAAATATTCATCCCCTAATATGCCATAATGGTCGAGCCACAGTGTTTCGGCGTCAACCTGAGTAAATGTGGGAAATATCTTTCATTCCCCAGGCATTTCATGTTTACATATGAAACGCTCTCAAATTTGCTGTGCGCTTCATAATATCATAACTCTTTTATTTTAAATTAAAATCGATTTTAGGTTAAAAAATATTTAGGACACGGAATGGACTTGAACCGGCATGTACAGCGTTCCGTGCTTTAACCAATTAAGCCACCGTGTACAACACGTAAGCGTCGATTTTTTTTCTGCCTGTTATTATATTGTTATATGGCCCTCACAAAAAAACAGATTTAAATTAAAAATAATACAGTTTTAACGGTTTAAAACGCGAAATCTATTAGTCGAACTTTTTCACAAAATTAAATCAAACTTTGAAAACATTAATATTTTCCACATGTTATTGCACATGAAGGCACTATATAATTTAAATATCGAAAATAAATTGAAAAAAACACGGCAACAGCACGGAAAGCTGACGATGCCGGTTCAAGTCCTGCCCGAGTCGAAAATTTTTTCAATTTATTTTCGATCTTTAAATTAAATCAAACTTATTTAGCTACAGCCGTGGTCATAGGGAGACTATAGGATTCAGGATGTCTCTCATGTCAAAGTAAAAAACTATAACGCTAGCATCCTACTGCTTTTGCTGTCCTTAATTCAGTGAAGTAGTTCTTATTTACTTCTTACGTACTCTCCGAGTAGTACACATTTAAATAAACCACTTTTCTCATTTTTCTATCTAGAAAGCATTGTCAATAAGATTTTGTGATTGAAACTTTAAGAGTTAATATTAACTCTTAAGATAGCGCGTGTAACCCTATTTAAACTAAAAGTGCTGCAGTAAGTTTTAATGTTGTACGGTGCCATTAGAAGCGGTAATAAAAGTAAGGTGTTTCGTGTTATATTTTTAATTTGACTTATTTGAGTGTTGTCTGTATTTACGTAAGAAAGTATTGAAATAAGACTCGTTTAACGGTTTAAAGCACTAAATATTTGATTAAGGACTGTCAACAATTTATCATTTGAAAAGTTTATTATTTTTTTACATTTTATTGCACATGAAAGCACTGTATAATTTAAATACCGAAAATAAATTTAAAAAAAAATTCGAGTCGGGCAGGACTTGAACAGCACGGAACGCTGACGATGCCGGTTCAAGTCCTGCCCGAGTCGAAAATTTTTTCAATTCATTTAATTTTTTAAACAACTTATCATTCACAATTAACAAATTACTTAAGGTTAACAAAGAATATAATTGAAACTTTTAGTTAATTTATTGATATATTAAGCGTCCAAAAGGTCAGGCCGTAGTTAGAAGAAATGAGTTAATAAATAATTTTACTAACTGAGAAGCTTCTATTTTTTGAATTTTCTTAAAATTAATTGAACTAAAGTTTTATTCGTGTTCATGTTTATTGCTAGCTTTTTCGCTCTAAGTGAGACCACACAATATAAGTACTCTGTAGGAAGTTTTATGACAAGTGCTAGAATGTACAACATTATTTCCGGCTGCAGTAGCGCCGTCTTTATTTATACTATTGGCACCAGTCTGACCTAGAAAGTGTATTTAAAGGAAATGAAACATTTTTACTTTTTACGGCAGTTAAGTTTATTTGCGTGCACTTAATTGTGTATTGCATTGTTTGTTATTAGAGATGCGCCGAGTAACGAGTACCGAGTTTTACTTGGCTCAATTTGTTTTCAGGCGAGTAACACAATCAATCAAATTCCCATTAAATTTTAAATATGGAATTATTACAGTTCTTGTTATTTTGTCTCATTCATTCATTAGCATAATTTTCATTTTATTAATTGAGATTTTCAAAGCTTTTCTAAATTACGAATAAATACTTATGTCACTGTTGTTTTAACTATATCTACCTAAATTATATTGCTTTTCTTAAACAAAGTATTCTCGTTATAAAATAACAAAGTATAACCTAGTTATTCGGCTGAGTACGAGTATCAACCGAGTACTCGGTCCATCACTATTTGTTATGTATTGTATTAGTCGCACAGTTTTATGTATAAATATCACGCATACACACTGTACATTCACTCAAAGATCTAGATTCGAATCGCGAGAAACATTTTGGGATGATTGTTATTCCAATAGACATATCTCTCTCAACTTCACGGTGAAGTTGAACTAAATTACTATTTTTTAGTTTTACATATGTAAATCGTAGTTATATTGCAAGAACCTCAGTATATAAAAGTCTTGCTTGAGTATTCTCTGTAGTTTACGCGAGGACTACAGTTTAAATAAAACACATCTAATACTACGATATATATTAGTTATTTTATTTACAACTCATGTGGACTACGGATTTTAAATGCTTTGCAAATCGTGGTCATGGGTTTTTTGTGTGTTTTTTTTTGTGCTGAAATATTTAGATCCTGTTGCAGGTTTTTTAATGATAGAAAAGCATGATCATCCACTAGATGAAAGGTAAAATACCCAATTAACATTCAAACTAACAAAATTGGAATAGAATTGCCTTTCCCCTACAATTCTGTGGTTGAAACCACTCATTTAGTTTTCTCTCTAGACCAGAAATATCCAAACCTGTACGAGCACACTTGAACAAAATGTAAAAATATCATCGCACTCCACTGGCTTGCGTTTGATGTTTCGAAGTGCGGATACGATGAAAAATGCAGCGTTTTTTTTTATCGAACACTCGAAATGTTAAATCTTTCGCAGAAATTTTATTGAAAAACCACCACAGGCAATGTGATACCGTACTGTTTTTTTGTATTATATTTAATTTTAAACAGTTTGTAATTGATTTCCTTCCTGATGTCATTATTTTTATAACCAAGTGATAAGTTTTTATTTTTCTCCGCATTATGTTTTTTAATTATTGATAAAGACAGGCTCACTTGATGAAAAGTGAGGCACCCCAACCATATAACATCTCAATAAGTGCACTGTCTATTTTGGTTTTGGATATTTTCTATAAATTTGGCTTGTCTGGAAGATATTACTAACTATTTAACTAGTAAGTTAGCGATAAGACAATTTATTGCTCTCCAATTCTGTAAAATAACATGAATATACCAAAATATAGTAATAACACAAAGTCTTTGAAATATAAATCAATCAATGACCACGGCTACTGCAAAACATTCGCAAAGTATTTCAATAAAGCACTAACGGTTTAAAACGCGATATACTTGTTAAACTTATTTGAAAATGATTTTTAACAGAATTGAAATTCAATTCTTCAACCCGGCTTTACTTTGACGTCAGAGACATCCTCCATCTTTAGTCTCCCCGTGACCACGACTCCTGCAAAGCATCCGAAACGCCGGGCCGAACTTAAAAATCATTTTCAAATAAGTTTAACTAATATATCGCTTTTTAAACCGTTAAAGTGTTTTATTTAAATGTGTACTACTCGCGTAAACTATAGACAGTATTCGCAAAGTAGCAAAAACATCGAGCTGTAATTGATAATAAGTTAAAAGTGTTTTACTGTTGGTACTACTTACATACAGTCAGTATTTTTATTAAAAGGCTATGATCAAATTGTGATAGTTAAATTTATGATTATAAACAGCAAACACGAAACAAAGCCGAGAAATACCTAGATTGAACTTTCAAAAAAAGGGCCATAAAATCGCTGTAAGCCCTCTTTAGATCCTTATTAGGTGGAACTGAGGTATAGCGAATTCCTTGTTATGAAGCATGAGATTCAGTTGATGGTAGGTATATTTTACCTACCATCAACTGAATCTATCAGATAGCCAGCCACATAACTTCTATCAGAGATGTGTTGTCGACCTATTTTGGCTTTGGTTATTCGGAAATCCACAGATCGAAATTTTGTGTATTTAAGCGTAAGTCATAAATTATTTTAATACATAAGTACTTGATATTTAATATTGCCCATCAGGAAGTCAAGTAAATAAGCCCAAAATTAATTTAATTATTGTTAACACAAGCACATCACGCCATGTCAAAAGCTCTTGGTAATTTTAACTTGGCTCGATTTATTCGAGCAATTATAAACGGCTCAACTCCAGATGATTTAATATGGCTTCCCAATGAGATTTAGGGGAATTTCAAAGGAATTACCGATCTTTCGATTTCAGAAGTTAGAACAGCTTTAAATCACCTTTCTCTGCCTTCCTAACTGGTGTAGTCTTTGAAAGGCATCTATTGATAATGCTTAATGGTTCATGCAGTACTTTCTTAAGCCTAATAATAATTGCAACATTTTACTGGAAGTCTTAGGTTCATATTTATTTTGAAGACAAATAAAAGAAGACTAATTATAGAAACACTAACATAGATAGCAACGAAAAGACATAGTTTTGAACAATAAGAAATTCGGTTACAATAAATTAACAAAATCATTTTTAATTTAGAGGAGGACAGACAGGCATAGAGTTTGATTTTTCGAAGGTGAAATAACACAGACATAGAACATTAAAAATATAATATATTAAATGCGCTGTCGACCTTTTTTGTCCCTGGATATTAGAAAGTCCACAGACTGAAACAAAAACACGATTAAATTTTACGACTTTTTTATCTGTAGACAGTGGTTTGTGAGACGGATGGTATTTAAAACTTCGGAATAACCGTTTAATATCTAGATTTGCAGACGAAATCCAACATGTTTCAGAAAAATTAAAAATCGTTTAGACATATGTACCCAGTGGGGATCGAATCCACGACCAGTTTCTTATTATACATTGCTACTATTAGACCATTGAGTCTGTCAGGACCTAAGCCTAATCTCTAATGCTAAAAGCTTTACATATTTTTTTAGAAACGCGATTTTCACCTTAATTTTTATAACAAAACATGTTTAATTCGCAGGTGCTGGCTTCATGCGTCTGTTCGGAACACATCTGTCATCCCACGGATCTTCCCTCTGCACTTACTTTAGGATGCTCAGGCCTAAGAGCGTTCCGTTGGATTTTCGCGAAATACTCAAACGAGTGAACACACCTTTCATGTTTTGCCTGAAAATTCCCGGAAACTCATTAGCCGAGGTAAGTCTAACACAATCTTTCCTACACGTTACCACTTTTTTTTCAATTAAATCACTCTCAAGTACCTGTTAACGTAACGTAACACTGGTGTGTACTTATGAAGTACACACCAGTTAAAAACTAAAGACTAAATTTATATTAGTAATTACAACTATTGTTTAACGTCATACTAACCCTTTTTTAGTTAGCTATTTAGTAACTTAGGGGTTACATAATTGCATCAGCGAATTAAAGACACTATGCTATTTAAGTTTGTTTGCAATGCAATGTTTGTTACCAACTAAAGAAATAAAATAATAATATTTTGAGATTACCCAATGGAACGCGTTATGGATAGCTGAAATAAAACGTAATAATAATTACCGATCTAAAATAAAGCTACCACTTAAAAATTATAGCTAATAATATCATAAATTCAATTCAATTTGGACGGATGCCAAAATAACTAACACGAGTTCAAAATAGCGCATAATTTTCATCTCTCTAATAGTAATTCACTATTAACATTTGTGGTCACAGACAAATTTATAGCGGCATTTAATGTTTATCCTGTGGTGCAGTCCCTGGTTTGTCTTGTTTTATTTACTCTATGGTTTTAGTATTTTACGTGAAATAAATTAACTTCCATTATTTAGTCTATGTAACGGTTGTTAATAGGCTATGGACAGGTACATAGTTGGGATGTATTTATATCTGGCTGTATTATGATATGATATATACATATTTTCTTCCCTACTTATATACATGTATAAACCGCTGTTTATTAATCTTTGATAATAAATTATTGAAAATCTATATATAAAAGATATTAAATTATTCGATTCCCATCCATTTTTGTGATAATTATTTTGACGTAACATTCAATGTGTGAATCTCATACTGGGTATAACAATAATAAACAACGCGTTTTTAAATAATTACAATTAGATTTTCATGTTATGTACAAGACGTAACTAACAAGAACAGGTTTTTTATAATAATAATATTTGTTCTAAATAATAACAATTATATGTATTACCATGTTTATCGTTGCCAAATTCAAAGTAGCTAACGGATAAAGTATTCGCTTCCAAAATTGTCGTTGGTAAAAGAATGCCCATAATGTATCCCCTAAGGGTAAATCTCTTCAAAGACAATGTTGATACAAATATAAATTTCGTAACAATGTAAAAGAATGCGCCTAAAACAATTTCAGGAAGGCCATGTTACAAATTGGTCTTTGTACACTTATAAATGGCGGGGATGATAGAAATTTATATTCATGATTTATATAGGGGGCTTATTTAGGGGGGGGGGGGGTTGTTTTATATTAAGCATTATCTGACACGAAGTACCATGTTGAAATCACAAGCAGATTTTGATGGGCTGGTTGTTGTGTATGGCTAATAGCGATAAGCTGTTGGTTCGGTCATCATCGGTCTAGCATTTTCATAATCAATTCATAAATATGTTGGTCTTTGTCTGTCTGCATATTAAATTGGTGGTAGGAATATCAAAATATCCGGTTTAAATCACAGTCGGTTTCAAGCTAAGAATTCCCGAATATCCAAAGGCAAAATATAAGCACATGATAAATAGATTTGATGTAGGTTTATTACTAGTAAAGAAGTGCAAGAAATACCGTGTCCGTTTCACTTATCGGTTTTGACAGGCAAGTAGATCGGATATAGGTGATCAGATTTCTGTGCCCTACCCGAGCGAAACAATATTTTGTTACCCAGAATTCGATTTCATCACCTCTCGCGCTTAACGCTAGGCGACACGTTTAACCATTTAGCTATAGAAGCTGTCTGGTCTAAATAGAAAAGTGTTTTCAAAAGTATATTCTCTATTGAACATTTCTATACTACCTACTACTAACGAACTCAACAAGCAAAGCCGTCTCGCGCTCTTCCAATTTTTGGAGCCATGATTGTCAATTCGCTTCCAACAATTCCATTAAATTGAATTTACGTTCCATTTCCCGGTGTACAGCACCTGGCTATGATGAATATACCAATTATCGACATTGTTTCTGCGCAGAGTTGTATTATGAATTGTAAAACTACAGACAGTTTACGCGAGTAGTATACATTTAAATAAACCACTTTTAACGGTTTAAAACGCAAAATATTTTGGTTACTCTATTCTCAATTTTAATTTAACTACGCTTTGACGTTTCATTTCCAATCAAATCAAATATCATTTATTCATGTAGGTAGCTAGTTCCTCTTTAAACGTCGAAACATGTAAAAATTCTAAATTTACATTTTCTACCAGTTCCCCATATTAAGGGCGTAGAATGAACGTGAAGAACTGGCGAGAAGCCGCCACTCCTTTTATTGTGAAGTTTTTGTTACAATTCTTACGCACTCAATGCTAACCAAATAGGGTTAAATCAATCAATTAAATGGATTGGTTTAGCCCTATTTTTATATATTTTTAGTTATCATTGGTTTAAAATCTGTGTGTCCTTAGTATTTCAATAAAATATTTTGTATATATACCAATTCAATCAAGTGAAAGACTCGCCGTAAAACCGTTCTCAAAGAACTTTTATATTGTAGAAATATGTAAAGTACCTTATATAAAGTGTTACTTTGCTTTGATATTCATATTTTTAGAAATCCTTTGGATATATAGAATATAGTATTATAAGTCTAAATGTATTGTGATTTTATTTTTGCGTCAATAGAGTTGGAAAACCTTAAACTCACTTTTAAAAACATTAATATTGTTTACATGTTATTGCACATGAAGGCACTATATAATTTAAAAATCGAAAATTTGTACTTTAAGATTGTTTTTTATTTAATTAATCGTTTAAGTTTTGGATAATTAAAGGGGTAGAAATGGCAAAATCTTAGGCAAACACCCCGTTAACTTTTGTTTTTAAGATCACATGACCATTACAAACTTAGATCATAACTTGTTAGATACTGTCTGTAGTTTACGCAAGTAGTACACATTTAAATAAAAACACTTGCACGGTTTAAAACGCGATATAAAACTTACTTGATAATTATTTTAACTACTGCCTAACGTTTCACGAGTCGTGGTCACGGGAAGACTGCTGCAGAGCATCCGAATCATCGGGCCGTAGTTAAGCTAATTTTCAAATAAGTTTAACTAATATATATCGCGTTTTGAACCGTTAAAGTGTTTTATTATAAAAATTATTAGTTTATTAATATAGAACTTTATAGTAGCACTTTTACTCATTTTACATAATTATTTAAAGGATTTCAAAATTCTATATTTCTATATTCTATATTCTATATTCAAAATTTTATATTTCTCTGGTATTATATTAATTAAAACTTTTTTATAAAAAAAAATAACTAAAGCAAAAAAAGATTGTTATTTAATATTTAAAGGATTATTACTATAAAGTCATATCACAAAAGTTTTATATACATTTTAAAAAATGTAAAATCTTTTTAGTCGAAGAAGGTCTTGTGTATTCCCTCTTGCAACAAATACGTTCTCCTTTCGAAACTATCCCACTCAAAACTAATTCAAGTCCTGATCCTGATTAAATAAAAATATTTGTGCAGCCAGGTATTGAGGCGTGTTGGCACTCAACATTGTTAGGGCAACCCTCTCTTGGAAATCCGCCTTTGTGTTGCCACTTTAGCTTGGTCCAATAAGGCTAGACAGTATTTACATTGTACTAGAACGTTTTCGATCCAATTTACGAGGGTATGTTACATAATTGGAATTTTGAATGAATTGTCAATACTTGGCGGTTCATTTGAAAGAGATCTTGGGCGTATTTGATTTTACCTGCGAAGTTATATTATAACTGGGGACAAAGTTTAGTAGGCCGATAACGCATCACGCTTAGAAGAAGAAGAAGTTGTATAACCCCATGCTTTTATATAATCTCCATTCTTATCTATTAAAGGTAAAAAAGGAAAGGTAGATTTGCTTCTATAACCAAGAGTCCAAGTTAGATGCGCTATCGACCTATAACTTTGTATATTTGGAAATATATAGACTGCAACCGAAACGTGGCTCTATACTTTCTAGCTGTGGATTGTGATTTGTGTCACGAACGTAATTTGGATAAGACTAAAACTGATTTATCGTCTATATATATATATATTTATTTTTTATGTATATATGGATATATTTTTTTTAATATTCGACCCGGTGAAAATTGTATCTACGACCTGTTAATCATTATAAGCCCTGCATAACGACCATTGATCCATAGTGCGCGTCTATAATGTAGCCGTCACACTACATTTTTTAACAATAATTTTAAATGAGCAAAGGAAAGAAATTAAGGTCAATATCTCTTTGATGTTAGAAGTTTTCAATGCTAAATTTGTTTGAAAAATACAGTAAAGTAGTAAATCTCGTCACATTTACAGCGAAGGCTCATTTGCGGCGATTCCGTGCCGCGCTCGGATCGAAATGAGCTCGTTAACTTAGATTTGTACCGGCGAGTAAATTGCCGCCAGGACTGTTACGATGTTTTGTTCGCTAACGAAATCACATTGTAGAATTGCAGATGAAAACTAGTCGAGAAGGCCTTTTAAACCAAATGACATTACCCTTTTGTCAAATTCAAATAATTTAATTCACACCAAAGAATGTACATACGAACATGTATAATGATATAATTAATAATAAATACATAAATAGTTTACAATCCACGGATTACGAGCCGTGAAGTTTAACCGCGTTTCGGTTTCAGTCTGTGGATTTCCAAAATTTCGAAAATAGGCCGACAGGGCATCTTGTTTAGATGGTAGGTGTAGGAGTAGAAGTAGGAGGGTAGTTCATCACCCATAAAGTAAACTTTGCTGAAGAACGCTGTGCTTGTCTGCCCTCCTCTATAGGTTTTTAATTAATAGATACAATAACTCAGACACGATCCAAGTTAGAAAAAGTCTTTTAGATCGTACGTACTAAACACGCCCATAACGCATTAAAACTTATCGTAGTGAAAAGTTCACAAAATGTAAAAGTTTTTAGTCTATGCCCTAATCTACGAAGGTACCCTTCAAACAAAGTAAATTTCAGTTACAATAAATAAGAAAATTTGTTTCTGTATACGTACATACGACGAGTATAACTCATAATTGATTTTAACGTTTTTTAAATTAATTATCGGCAACGTTTCATTTATTACTAATAGGCCATATTCCGCTTTGAAAACGATTTAGCCAGTTATAACTGCTAACTTTTAAAACCATAACTGTGCCACCTAAAACGTTTCAGGTGAAATAAAAACATTTAAACAAATAAATTGTTTTAAAAACTACTAATTGTATGTCAGGTTGAAAATAGAACAAAAGTCTTTCAGCCGTATTTTCAGTTGTTTCAAAAACTCACGAAAAAGATTGCAATTTCTTTTGTACCATAAATTAGTGGTTATGAGAAAATGTCTTGTTCTTGGAAATACGCAGTGCAGTAGAATGAATTTTGTGGTCCAGCCCAGTAGTATTATATTTTTGCATTTCAAAAATGTAGGTCAGGTTATATTTGTAATTTAAGAATTTCATTTTCGGTTATATTTGAATAAAGGATAACTTTTATGCTCTTGACGAGAAAATTGTTTTATATTTTACCCTTATTTGTATCTTAGGTTTAAATATATAACACTTTAACTTGAAAAATGTGAAAGTTATTTCTTTGCAATATTAAAACTTCTATCTATAAATAGGAAAAGGTTTTGCTTACAATATCATTGAGAAAAATTCTTTGGATTACATGACATCAAAGTCTCTCATCAATCTATGCTCTTGGAATTTGGTAAGAAATTTTACGTTATCAAATAAGTAAGATGGAAATGAATTATTAACCGCGTTCACTAAAATACTAGAACTCGCAAAGTCCTCGGCTGTCAACCGTTTATTGTAACAACTTAAATATTTCAAAGTTCCTCAACAAAGCTAGATAGCGAAAAGGATTCAGGTCAAATGCCTGGAGCAACTTGTCCTCTACGAAAATACATCAACGTGACTGTACAAAGAAAAACCAACATGATCATACTTTATCAAAAAATTTATGTCTGGTACTTTAAAGGTCCTTTAATATCTTAGAGAAGATAAATTAAGTTCTATCCAATACATAATTCTCTTCTTTAAAATATAATCAAGTGTATTAAAAGCAACAGATGGTATTAACTTGAGGTTTCATCTTTGAAATTTAGTTTTGGAATTAAATTTTTTATCTGTCTATATCAAACAGAATTTTTGTAAGGCCACAAGAAAAAAAAATCTAATTTTATTTAAATATAGAGATTGAATAATGAATGTGCTTTATGCGATGTTGTCATGCAAAATCTTGAATTAATTTCTTATCCAGTGACGCACGCGCAGTTATGAACTTAGTATATATTAAAGAATGTAACCCGTTTAATTATATGCCCTTTCGAATATATCAACCCCTGCAAGACAATAAGCTGGGAAGGACAATTAGTTTCAATGTTTACCTTGCAAAGTGGAGTGACCTAATAGCCCTGTTTGCACCTTGAGTTTGTTTAGCTTTACAAATAGGTTTGTTTTGGACTCTGGCCTTAAAAATAATAATAAAGTGAAGGAGTACCTTCGTGTGTAATTTTATATTAATGCGATTAATAACTTATAAAATTATACTAAAAAGGACTCTATACGTATCAGGTTCGTGTTATTTGGAAGGGAGTTAGATCTCGAGCTTTCTGTTCAATAATATTTAATCCTTAAGGGTGACGCAAAAAACGGTTTGTAAAAAATTAAACATAAAAATAGATACCAAATCAAGTATCTTGGGTCTATGTTATAAATATGTGCCATGAAAACCGTGTATAATAAAAAAAAAGAAATAAATCCTATGCTAGAACCGAATGAAGGATCGTTAAGAATACAGTTAGATTTAAAAATGTATGATTTATTGAAAACTGTGTAACAACGGTTCCTATTAAGATCATAACATTAAAATTTACAAGCTCGTTCACCGTTTTGGGGGTGCTTATTCAGCTAAATGCTAACTATCGCATACCATTCGCAACTCATGCGCATCGAATCATAGCATAATGAATAATACTTCAAAAGCTTGCGTTATTATGTCTACGTTCACAAAGTTTGTGTAATAACAGCTTAGTCAGCTTATTTTCAAGCGAGAGTTTATTCGGTTTTATGTATTGCAATAACAACTTTTATATGTTGACATAGAATAATTATGGCACTCTTAGTTTGAGTAAGTTAGATTACTGTTGTTTGTCCTACACATCGTTACAAGGGTCCAACACTCAATCCCAACTTTATCTCTCTACTTGAGCGAAACTCATCGAGAGCACTACTTTTCTCAACATATTGTGAAGATTGTTCCTCAATCTCTAGTTTTTCTTTAGGGCAGTGAACTGTAGCGGCACGTTTATGACCAGTTAAATTAAATTGTTTAAATGTTTTGACGTAAATTTATAGTACTACAACACAAATTAAAGATTACATTATAACAAATAAAGGAACATACATTACTGTATGTATTATTTCATGTTATCTTAATCTTGGAAATAAATAGATGCATCTCATAGTACACAAAAAATAGCAAAAGTACATATATTTTATAAATTTAATCATAAGATGATGATAAAATGTAAGTAGAATAATTTTATACTGTCTGTAGTTTTCGGGAGTAGTACTAAATAAAATACTTTAACGGATCAATCTCTCCTGAAGACTGTTGTAATAAATTTAAAATAAGTAATTAAAGAATATTTTTTAATTAATGTTGATGTTTGGAGGGACTCAGACGCAGAAAGTTAAAAAATCAGTTTTCTAATAAGTTTAACCAATATATCGCGTTTTAAACCGTTAAAGTGTTTTATTTAAATGTGTACTACTCGCGTAAACTATAATATATAACAGTATCCAATTAGTTATCTGTAACAACTATTAGATCGGAAACGTTTGAACTGATCCCAAATCTACATAAGGGATTACCGATTGTGTATATTATGTTAAATGATGTAGATATAATCAAAGACAATACGCTAATTAATTGGCTTATACACATATATGTAATACCGTAGCTCTGGAGTTATACAGTAAAATTGACGGGCTTGTTAATGTTATGGCAGTAATGTATGGCTACGCGGGTTCGAGCCCCCCCACCACCACACCATACCCCAATTTCTATATTTTTTTCTGAATAATCTTGGACTTTGTCTGGAAATCTGGATATTAAATGGGCGGTAGGAATAGAAAACGTATTTTTAGTAACTAAAAGAATACAAAGATTTACGCCATACGTAAAAACAAAGTCAACATGATAAATTCAAAGTAATTTGTCTAATTCCGCCCTCACTTCCCCGAATTTCGTCAACCGACTAAAGATTAATTCCTTCGCAGGGCCTGGAGATAAAAGGACAGATGGTTTTTTGCCCCGAGTCGGACTCCTTGCTATTCGTCGGCTCGCCTTTTCTCGACGGCCTCGAAGGACTAACCGGCCGGGGTTTATTTATTTCGGACATTCCATTACACGACGCCACAAGGGACGTGATCTTAGTCAGCGAACAGACTAGAGCGCAGGTTGGCGACAGTTCATTCAATTTATTATCTGTGTCACGGTTACATTCCAAATATTTAGATTTCAAGATGGCGGATACGCCATTTTGAATTTTTATGGCGGGAAATTTATTTCAATGAATGATATGGTAATTGAGCTTTATTTTTAGCTTTGTATAAGCCTACATCATTAAAAGTTTTGAACATTTAAAATCAAAATATGCCAAGCAATTTCCATCCGAAATATTGCGATTTGAAAGGGTGAACACGACATTTTGCGTTTAATTTTAGACGCCACATGTATAGTTGACTGAACGTTGGTAAATAGCTAATCTATTAACGGTCAACTCAACTCGCTGAATAGTGTGCTTCTATTAATTTATTACAAATATAGTTTAGAAGAAATCAGGAGAAATTGAAATTAGCTTAACGTAATATATACTATGTTTATAGCATCTTAAGATTACAACAAAATATATACTTAGGTTGATCACATTTATAACTAAGAAAAACATCAAAAATATTGATTCCATACTATTTGCTTTAAAATAATAACTTAAAGTTTGGTGAAGCACTTAGGAAGAACAACTAATCGAAACGAAGAACATGGTGGATCCACGACGGAACTTTGACTGAGTTATGTTTTGGCATATTATAGATTTTTTTATCTATCTATCGTCTCTTTACCCCCTCTGTTAACTAAATAGTTAAAAGTGTTTAGCATTGCATTAAGCGCGACAAGTCATGCGTTCGAATCCCGGGGAAGGAATAGATAGTTGTTGTACGGGCCCCATGCCCTATTAGGGGAAACGGGATTTAATTTTTTTACTAGCACTTTTTCAATATATCCGTGTATACATGGACATTGTGCTATAATATTTAAGAGTACATTTACAAAAACATTAAAAAGTTTTTACATATAAACTTTATGCTTGGCAGGTCGAAGTGAAACCTTTTTAAGTTTTACATTAAAGCCCATTACTTATAAAGATAAAAGGCAATTTCCTTCAACAAGCCAATTTTGTATCTCGCGAGATGATACAATTTTTATTTCCCCCATATCCGAGCGAGGACTTTTATTAATTAGCTATTTTACTTCATTATCCACTCTTGGTAATTATTTTGAAACACGACGGCGTAAGGATCTAATTTATGATATTACAAATTAAATCGGTTTGTTAAAAGTATGATGGAAATTATTGGAAACCTTTTTGAGTATACGAGGATTCGAACTTTTGCCAAAATATATTTCTCGGCTATATAGCGTGTGGACAGATTTAAGGCCCCTCAACAGTGTTCCAAGTCCCAGCGGTGGGTGATGTTGAAAATGTCTAATTTGATAGATCCATTGTGACTTGGAATTTTGGATTAATATTTTCTTAAAATAGTTACAGCAACTCTTGAAATGATTATTATCTAAGTTTTGTCTGTGGGTTATGCGAGTAGTCTACATTTAAATAAACTTTTATCGCTTTAGAACAACTACAGCACGAATGCTATGCAGCTACCGTGGTCGCTTTGTAACCCCGTGTGTCAAAAGTGTTTTTTTAATGTTTATCCTAAGTTCCCCAACTTACTTATTTAGTTGATAACTGTATCTTAATGATAAAATAAATCTTTAATTAATTATAAAACTTTACTTTAAAAGATAAGTGGGTGTAATCTGTTGAAACTTAACAGGATGGATTACGTAAACGAATGGACAAGTTGAAGAATTCAATAGTCGAACTGAGCAAGTCTGTGGCTAAGGAGAGAGAGAAAAACGTCAGCCTCTTGCATTTAATATTCCCGCCGCATATAGCCAAACGTCTTTGGCTTGGTAAGTAGATAAAATTGTTGCTTTTATAATAATCAGAAGTCTACAGCAAGACGTTATAACATGGACCGAAAGTATAAAACCAAAATTGTTGGACAGCTTAACGTGGTGAGATGTTGTATGTTTGTATATCTTTAAAAGTGTACCCCATGCTTCTCTGATATAAAAAAAATAACAATTTACATATATTTTCTTTAGACACTGCAATAAAAGCGGCTTTCGGTAAAATAGATTAGTTTATTACACACTAGATACACACAACTCCACAAAGGTCTATACGACACTAACATAGCGGCAATAAACGCCCACAAACGCCCACAATAAGTCAAATTTACTCGTGGGTTGGGCTAAAGTAATTAATTCGTAAGTTAACACCTGCGTTCGACAATTTATTGTCAGCTATATCGCACAGAATGATAACAGCAGTTGGATCTTCAATAAAACGCTTTCACTGTACGGGTTTTTTATATTTTCAGAACAAACAAACAAAATTAAATTCTCATAGCAATTAACTTATTTTAGTATTAAATAATAAGCTATCTCATGCCAAAAATAATTATTTCTTTATTTTTTATCGCTGTTCTACACAGAGACTAATATATTTCCGGTTTAAAACCATTTCAGGTATTTCATTAATTGTGTTTCACTTGCACAAACTTAGATATTGTAATGTTCTATTCCAAACTATCGGCAATGCGTTTAGCGCGAGAGGTCCTGAGTTCGAATCCCAGGGAAACAATCATTGTTTCGGTCGGGCAGGGCACAGAAGTCTGATCAACTACTTGCCTGTTAAAGAACGGATCAGTGAAACGAACACAAAAATGTGTTCGCCCCATGCCCAACGAGGGGAAAAGGGTTTTTTTTTATTCTAACCTATCCATCTACTCAAACTGTGCTAAATGAAAAAAACTAAAAACATTCTACACGTTTCCAACTGTCGTCCGACTGTTCCCAAAAACCTGGAAAATATTAGTGTGGGCGCAAACATAATATATCATATTAATTGCTTTTGTCTAATTATTTATTGATACATAAAACAAAAAGATATAAAGGTAATTCATCAAAAATAATCTCTAAACCTTTGATATAAGTATACAATAATTTATTATTATAAATAATTTGATAAATACAAGCTTATGATATTTTTCGCTGACTTTTCATGGGTAACTTTTACCCTTATTCTCAACATAAAACGCGAATATTGAAAACTATGTCGCTTTTAAAACTAGAAATAATGTCTGTAGTTAACATGAGTAGTACATATTTTAATAAATCACTTCAAATGGTTTAAAAGGCGAAATATGTTAACTTATTTAAATATTATTTTAACTACGGTTCGACATTTCGGATGTGTTGCCATCATGGGGGGGACTAAAGAATGAAAGTCTTTCGTATCAAAGTAAAAACTAATCTAGCGCCATCTGTTTCATAGTAGTTAAAATAAATTGTAAATAAGTTAATTATTTGTTGAAAGAGAACTTTTTCTTACTACGATTAATATAATTATACAATATTTCGGCATTGTATATTTTTAATACATGGTCCATATTATGTCCTAGGTGAGGAGATAGAAGCGAAAAGCCACGATGATGTCACAATGCTATTTAGTGATATAGTGGGCTTTACGTCCATTTGCGCGACAGCCACACCCATGATGGTGATTGCCATGTTGGAAGACCTGTACAGCGTTTTCGATATATTCTGCGAAGAGCTGGATGTATATAAGGTAAGAATCGACCGGATAGAACAGGCAAACCATACAATTAATGTTATAAATACCCATCCAAAGAATGTACTTCCATACTCTTCGCTCGGATCTTGTTTCATTCATTCCGTAATCTGCCGAGTTATCACTAAATTTATTATTTGTAATAATATTTAGACTTAATTTAATTGAATTTGTTTCAATTTAATTATTCGTTTGTTTGAGTCTTCTGTTTGTTTTCTTGTTGTTCATGTCTATATCTTATTTCTTTTTTATTTTTGTATTTTAAACTGTAAAGTTGTTTATTTTACCGAAAGGATTCCATTAATGACTTAGATTTTTTTTATTATTTATTGAATGCAATGATGATTTGTAAATGCTTGATTCCTGATATTTTTATTTTGATTGTTATAATTCCTACACATGGTATATTTTACACACATAGTGTTTATTCTACAAAGACAGGAAGAATGAAAAATTGATCCATCGAAGCTAGTACGTGACATGTCACAAATAAGGCAGTATTACTTTGCATAGGAAGTTATTTTTTATAAAACGAGAATAATACTTTTTTTGTATAAAAAAGATTGTAGTAACTTAAATCTATCATATTGAGTATTTTTTTTTACTTTTTTATCATTATTTTACCCCAAGCAATAGTATTTATATTAAAAAACGAACTTCTATACTCTGATCATGAAAACGTTTGTCGGTTTAAATTAATACCTACATTCTTTTACGGTTTAAGACATTTATTTTGCTCTGAAATGTAGAACTATAAATTCTAATTTTAAATTGTTATTTACAAGTCTTTTATATTACTACTATATTATACTAGTAAAGTATAGTTTATTACTAGTTCGGGTCAAAATATATTAATATAACCTTTGAATACAGGTTGAGACGATAGGTGACGCCTACTGCGTAGCAAGTGGTCTACACCGGAAGATCGAAACTCACGCGCCACAAATAGCGTGGATGGCTTTACGGATGGTTGAAACTTGCGCCCAACACTTCACCCACGAAGGAAATCCAATCAAGGTACAATCATAAAAAAATAAAGTGTACGCTTCAGTGCCTCTTTTAAACAGTATTTAGTTAAATCCTGTGGGACATCGGGCGAAAACGGTTCTGTATCGTTTTCAGAAATCGATTACATTTACATAGTTTCACCGGCACCAGAACCCCGTACTAGATCGTTCATTAATTACCTATGTATTCAATAAATGATTACTTTTAATATACCTTTTAAAATATTAACATAAATTATATTATAACCTAAAATTTAATAAAGTTATGACAAAACATAAGTTAGAATTATTTTTAAATGATTTTAAATTTCGGCACATTGTTTATTACGGAATTACCAAAAAGTTGTCAACCCGGTGAGATTAGAGTCTTATCTGATATATGTATATGATGCACCATTAATTAAAGTATTAAAAATCAAGCACGTAGGAGTAATATACAGAGTTCCTATTTTTTACAGCGCAAGGTAGAGAAGGTTATAAGACGTTATCATCTGAATTCGTTATTAAATTTTTATATACAATATAGAAATCAGACATACGTTGTAGTAGTAACGGGACTTAACTAATTTCTTCACGTTCAAAAAAAAATATATTTTTTCTGAAACATTTTCATCTGGAAATTTAGATATTAAACGGTTGGTAGAAATAGCTTAATGTCTGCATAAAAAAGCCGGTTTTAGTCTGTGGATTCCCGAATATCCAAAGCCGAAATAGTTCTACAGCACATTGTTTAGATTTTAACTGGCTAGGTTATTTAAACATCCATGAAGTGTACCCTATGCCTGAACTCTTTTTTTTTAACAGATGCGCATAGGTCTCCATACCGGAACTGTGCTAGCTGGTGTCGTGGGTAAAACGATGCTCAAGTACTGCCTCTTCGGTCACAATGTCACTCTAGCCAACAAGTTTGAGTCCGGATCAGAACCCTTGAAAATCAACGTTAGTCCCACGACATATGAGTAAGTCTATCTTCTTTTAGGGGATACAAAAACGATTCCACCGCGAAATAATGACATTGATAAGTGGAGTTAGCAGCCGTCAACTTTTAATTCCGTTGTCAACTTCAGAAAAAGCCTTTGTTTAAATGGTCCGGCAATTTTAATGAATTTCAAATGTTTATTAATTATTCTGCCCAAATATTTAATATTTGCACATGTTATTGCACATTATGCTACTATAAATACAATTTTTATTTCAATCTATAATCGATTTTTAATTTATTCTGTCTTAATAAAATGTAATACATTGATGTAAAATAAACAAACGGAGCCTTACATATTATACGTATGTTTAATGCCTCTTAATGCCAACTAGTTTATTTGCAAAGTGATTTTTGACACCCCCATTTTTGCATCGCACATATTACACCCCATAGGGCTTACGTATATGCTTTTTATAATTTGTAGCATATTATGGCGTATATACGAGCGTCCAGAAAGCCGAATTCATAAAATTATATGGTAATAAATTATATTTTATACTTATTTCATATGGCCATAATAATAAATTTGATCGCGCCATTAGTTTTTATAACGGCTATACCATGAGCGAAACGGGTTATCGTTTATTTGGTTTATATTTCCACTATATTTCCTGTCATAAAATTTAGTTAGCCGCAATTTTATCAATTACTAGCTGTGTCAGCGACTTCGTCCGCGTAGAATATAATTTTCCCCGATTCTTCACATTCCTCGCAGTTTCTTTGCTCTATAAGTTGCAGCGCGTGGTTTTATAGCCTTCCTCGATAAATTCTCTCACCTTCACAAAAATAATTTTTCAAGTCGAACCAGTAGGTAGTTCATGAGATTAGCGCGTTCAAACAAATAAATAGACACTTCAGCTTCATATATTAGCATAAATATATATTAACTAAGTAAGAGTAAATTAAAACGAATTAAGTGTTTCGTAGAAAATTAACATGGCTTATAAACGTGGGGTTTGATACCCGGTTCTGTAAATGTTTCTTTCTTAGTAAATATATTAAAGCGTTAAAGAATGAATGATATAATTTTGATAAGTAATTACGTAAGATTTTAATCGCTTCTACCAGACTTTTCTTCAGTCATTTAAAAAACAAAATCCAAGGGAAGGAATGATTTTTGTGTTAAACTAAGAAAATATGACTTTTGGAAGTTTTGAAGCACTATTATATAATATATGTTGTTTTTATTGCGGGGCTATTGTCCATTCAACTAACTGCTACAAGTAAGGCAGATATTAAGTTTAAAGAAAGTGAAAAGATACTCTCTCCTTACGAAAATTAAATTTGATTTCCGAAGGAATAAGAGATATTAATATGAATTATCTATCTATAATATCATTATCTAAATGTAAATAAAGAGAACGTATTGTTTGTTCTAAATATAATTTACATTTGAAACGTAATTATCGAAGCCTTCGAATAACCGTTCCTATTTTTAGAAAGCAATTTTCGTCCTTAACTTTAATAATTGAAAGGCGATGTTAAGAAATAAATTCGTTTGCCTGGAACCTCTAATGCAGATTACATGGCTTTTAAATGGGACTTGAGTCTATTTGGAGTGACGTTTCAGGTGATATAATCCAATTATAGTAATTTAAAGACATCGTAATTGAGGAAGGAATTTCCATTCATGGCACTGAAGGAGTCTTTTTTCTTCCTTTTGGTAGCTTTTTAATCTGGCACGAAATAAAGAATTGAGACGCGTCACAAAAGTGCTAACTTTATATCGTCATGGGAAACAGATAAAGTAACGCATTACGTAACGTTGCAATGTGTCCCCGTATAATTTGTAATTATAAGTTTATGTTTTTAGATAGTAATATATACTCGGCTTTTTATTAAAAAAAAATATAGTACATACCTTTTCCATGCCAAACAGTCTAATAAATAATATGAAATATAAAAAATATATACTTTGACACTTTGGATTAAACAACTTTGCGATAAATAATAGCTTGCTACGTCCTAATATTCTGTCTGTTCCTTATTACATATCATTGCAGTAAGGAACAGACAAGAGTTTGTTTAATACAAAGGCTCGTATTTTCATATAAAAAATAAAATCTATTAATTTTAGTTTGGTCGACAAGTTCAGGACGTTTATTTGCCTGAAATTATGACAATTTACATATGTGTTTATATTTATGAGCATTATATACTTTGTCTTTATACATAGATAAAGTAAATAAAACTGTTTTAAATCTTCCAGAAAAAAACGTCCACTCTGAAAAAATACTTGGACCATACGAACTAAACCCACTGATAAAATCTTTACATTCCCACAAAGTTTGCGTAACCCTCACAAAACCCTTAATAAACTACTCCATTCAGCCTAAAAAACTAACAGTATTGTAACGTCCCTTACGAAAGTTCGAGAATATGTCGAAGTTTGCGCGTATCTTGTTCCATTACCTTATTTGATCATAACTCATACATTTTTCGAACATTGATTCAAATAGTATTACGCCGAAAAGAAATCGGATTTTCGCCGGATTTTATGGACGTGAAATATTTCAAAGCTGCCATAGACAGTACGGTTATGGTTTTAGCGGAATTGGCTTTTAGTTTAAAACGAGAAATTTGTGGGTAGTATAAGAAAGTTTATCTAAAGCTAATTTTCAAGTTGTAATATTAAACACTTCGTGAAATCCGATTGTCAATCTTTAAAAGTCATCTATAAACTGCGATTTGTATTTTTCACCTCCTCCTTCATTTTGACAAGATAGAAATTTAAATATTTTTAATTTGGTTTTTTTGATTTCTTTTCTTTCATTAGTATACAACTGAATATAAGTATAAAATGTTCCTAATATTATAAAGCTGAAGAGTTTGTTTGTTTGTTTGAACGCACTAATCTTAGAAAGTAGTCAAGTTCGATTTGAAAATTTTCTTTTTGTGTTATTTGAAACATTGAACGAGAAATAATTCTTTAGTCATCTTTTTTTGGGGATTAACCTGACCACTGTTTTTAACTTCTATTTGTTGTGATTTCTTATAGGCCCTTCCTCGATCAAACTCTTATATCCACAACATTTTTTTTTTAACCAGTAGTTCCTATTATCGTTTTTAAACAAACAAACTCTTCAGCTTTATAGATACGTGTGTTTGTTGTTGTGTTGTTTTGTGAAGATTATTACGTAACCATAGCAACGGAATTCACTTAAATTTACCTGTTAAATGTAAATCAACCCTTGCTATAGTTATACGCTGGTCTTCCGATCCCTTAATCCAATTATTCGTCGCAGGTGGCTAATAAAGTTCCCGGGCTTCGAGATGGAGCCGCGTGACCGATCGTGCCTCCCGAATTCGTTCCCTAAGGATATTCCGGGGACGTGTCACTTCTTACACAAGTACCTACATCCGGGGACTGATCCCGGGGCGACGCAGGTGAGTTATCTTTTAGGAGATTTATCTCGGGACTCTTAATTATATTGGACAGCTTTGCAGCTCATTATTTACTTGTAAGTTTAGGGTAGGCTGTAAGAGTCCAACCTTGGAACATTTTTTTCACTTTTGCTTAATTTGGTAATCAAATAATGATAATCACTACTTAATGATTAATCTAAAATCTATCCTATAAAAGGCGTCCTAGTAAAAGGCAGACTCCGCCCTATGCATTTCCTAGTCCGAAAGGGATTTCAAACGCCGTTTTTACCATGGTGCAGACATGGACAGCACATTTTTTTATCAATTCTCGTACTGCATATACAACAAATATATTATGCCTAATGGAAATGGCTTATAGCGTAGACCGGCCACACATTATAATTATTGGATTCCTTTGGGTTGTTTGCAATGTGTTCAAAAGTTGGTAAATAAAAATTGTTGGTAGTCTGAAAAAATAAATATTAAAATAAAAATATAGATATGTTCTGATGTTAATAAACGAAATAATTGTTTAATATTATAAACATGGTTTTACAATATAAGGATTTTTTTTTAGGTACAACACATACAAGATGCATTAAAAGACTTCGGTATAGGACAAACGAAGCCGGTGGAAGTTGAAACCGAGGACCCAACATAGTTCTATTGAACCTTTAAAGAACTTTTTATAAGATCTCAACATTCCCAAAACTCGAAAGTATTTTGATTACGACTGTACATAGCCACTTATCTCAATTATTTTCCAGATTTGAAAAGTTGAAGATTCTAACTTTTGTAATTTCTGATAGGGTCGGCTTACACTTACACTATTCACGAATTTTTGTAACTAAAAGGATAAGTTAAAGAAATTAATGGTTACTTATAAATCAAAACACTATCAACAATCATTTGGATTTGTAATAAATGAAATACCCATACGAAAATATCTATCTATAAATTGTGAAAAATTTTATTAATTCCTATTAATTTAATGACTTCTTGCCACGGTTCACTTTAAAATTAGCTAAGTTTTCAATGCTTTCTGCATTAGTTATCTCTTAAAATATTTTTCTAATAAAACTAAAGCCTAACTATTCTGAGGTGCTGTTCCATTCTATTCTTTGAAGGTTCTAGTAAAGTAGAGTAGTTTGATCATCTCGTTTGAAACAGTAATGATGTAATCACTATAATTAAGTATGTGTACGGACACTCTAATTTACAAAACATAAACAATAAAAACTTATTGAAAATTCAATTAACAAATTAAAAGGTGTTAGGAAATAACTATAAGTGGACATTGTTCCTGTGTATAAATTCAATGTAACACATATGGTAATTAAGGTTTTATTTTATTAGACAAATTCCTATAAAAAATATATTAGCGATATAGGTCTCGTAAATTGTCACATTGTTAATCTATGCCATAGTAAAAGGTATTTAAAACTAGCCCATGAGAGTCTAAAAATTTTTCTATAACATATGGTTCTTTAGTAAAAGATATGCTTACCTAAATTGTATTTTTCTATCGCAACTAAAACTTAGAAGTACAGATTAGCATAATCTTGTTAACTAAGTACTCTAGGACAATTATTTATAGCCTTCGTTAGTTCTTAAACCTACATTTGGTTTTAACTCCCAAGCTTAAAAAGGCTTTAAAAAAAGTCACCAGTTTAATTGGGTTCTAAATAATACTCATTGATATTGTAAAGTACTTTTGTAGATATTAAAATTATAGTGATCTATGTAAAGCTTTACAATTTTTATATTAACACTTTCTGCGAGAGAAAAAATGAACTTTCCCGTTCAGGCCGTGTCGGTCAGTGATGGTTGACATCAAGAATTTCCATTTGAGCCGCGTCTCAGTGATACGCGTTTAACAAGGATTTTCGTTTCTCTTCAGACCGTTGGTAAATGTTATCAAACTAAATCCTATCTTGACCCGGTGGCCCTGTAGTTACTCTATATGAATTGTTTTTGCAAAATTACAACTTTCGATAAAAACAATAATTTTTATTTAAAAAATGTTTACTTAAACTAAATATAACCATTTTAGCAGGTAGAAATAAAAAAAAATACATATATTAATTTTATGAATTATCAATTAATTTTATGAAAATAGGCAAAGTAACTCAACAAAAAAAAAGTTTATCATGGAAGTGTTAAGAAGTACTGATTGATCTGACTGATCCATTTTTTAGTCTTTTTCCTTGCAATTGAACGTCAAAATATGGACACATTTTCTAGTAACATTCTAACAGGAACGACGCACTTTCACCGAAGGTCCATCTTTTTCTGACGTACGTGCTTTCTTATGTCGTCTTCCTCTAGCACTCTGGCTAATGCAGGCTTTGCCAAAAACTTTTTAGTATTCTTTTCTAAAGTCTACAAGAAGGATTATATGACGCTTTTAAACATATCTAAAAGATTTACCATAGCGACATTCAATATGACATCATCAGCAATTTTGGAAAAAGGCGACCTGCCCGCACACGACCGCCCCATGTAACGGAATACGTTTTTTCGCTCTATGGGCCGCGGCGATCAATGTGTTCGAATTAATTATTTCAATAAATAAAAGCTTAAATTGACTTTCGACGAAAATACAATACATTTGGATACAAAATAAAATCATATGAGCAAAAAAATATCTCGGCCCATTTTGAAGAGAACCACATTTTTTACTCGGCCTAAACGGAAATTTCGCTGTCGGTCAGCACTGACCGCATCGGCAGAGAAGTGTTAAGATGTATATAAAAAAGAATCCGGGATAATTACGACTTATATAGTTAAAATTTGGTCTAGCTACCTAGCTTTGTAGGTTAGTTATACATTTTGTGTGGAGTGGCACGATGTAAAATAATAGTTTAATGATTATTCACACTTCTATTTGATCAAACATTTATCGAAAAAGACGTACGTAGTCTGAAATTGTAAAAAAAATCTCTAATAGTAATTAAGGAAAAGCGTTCGTTCTAAATAGTTAATGTACTTTTAACCTTCATAAGGTTTATGTCTATATTGTTAAACTTTATTTCAAAGCTTTGTTAATATCAATAATATTTTTTAATGTTCGAGGAGGACAGAAAAACACGGAGTTCACTTGGTGGGAAGTGAAACCCACCAGCCATTACACATTTATACAAGTTGTGCTGTCGACCTTATTTGGCCTTAGATATTCGAAAATTCACAGACTGAAACCGAAACGCGATTAAACTTCGAAGCTATTTCATCTGTGGACGGTGGTTTGTGACCCGGACTGAATTTCCATATTTCTACCACGCATTTAATACATATCTAGATTAAATACTGTCTATAGTTTACGCGAGTAGTACACATTTCACACTCCCCGTGACCACGGCTGCTGCAAAACATCCAAAACGTCGGGCAGTAGTTAAAAATAATTTTTCAAATAAGTTTAACTAATATATCGCGTTTTAAACCGTTAAAGTGTTTTATTGAAACATATCTAGATTTTCAGACAAAGTCCAACATGTTTCGGAAAAATTATTAATTGAAATATGTTTGACCCGGTAGATGGAACCACGAGCCGTCGCTTAAATTTTTGTTTTACGTTAGCTAGACTTTTAATAACGCGTTTTAAGTGACAACTTCCTACGTATAGTATATAAAGCTGATTTCTCTAAACAAATATTTTGTTTATTCTAAATTGATGTCGCAAATAATTAACAAAATTAAATGTTTTCATTATAATTTATGTAGTTCCTCTATTACCACCGAAAAAATAATTATGTATTTATAGGATTAGTGCATAATTTTTTAGTTTATGTGTCCCGCAGGGGAGGTTTCTAGTCAATAGTTATTAAATAGTCTCGTAACTGTATAAAACACGATTTAATTAAATTAAGATTAATCATATTTAATATGTCATACATTTTAACATTAAAAAATATATTTTAGATTATAGAAAATTGGATTCGAACTCAATGATCAAGAGCGGATATTGAAGAAATTTATGCAAGCATTCGTAAGCGCTTTAAAGTCGAAATTTAATTAATTAAATGGTAGTATTGAATCACAGTTCATAAAGATTTCACATAAGACATTACAAAAGTATCATCATACTGTAGTTTAAATAATAATTATCGTTAATATTTTGTAAGAAATATTAAACCACTGTGCTTCATAGTACCTTTGATGTATATAAAAATGCTATTATATATATAGACAAATGTAAATATGCTAGCTTCGTTCTAAGAAACTGAATCAAAATATGTGATGTTTAAAAATATATTAACCTTTGTAGTATGTAATTTGAAATACCTGTAAAATATAATTACAACATCGAACATTTACGCAAACAGTGTATCAGTGAAATTAGCAGATTATGTTGAGAAATGTTAACGAATACTCAAGTTATATTAATTTCCGTATTCCATAATTAAAAATGGTATAAATTCGATATTTAAAATGAGATTTAATGTTCTTAAGTATAAACTTAGAAAATGTAAATTACGTTTCATAGATTTATTTGCGACACTTGTGCTTATAATTTTAGAATACATTTAGAATTCACTTGCATATAGTCGCATACAAATTGTCTGTATGTCTGTATAAAGCATTTATAATTTAGATGTAAGAACACAGCCTTTGTCTCGTACTTTTTAGGTGGTGTTAGATAAATTTAAAGTAGTACTATTAAAACAATTTAAAGTAGTAGTAATTTTAAGCTATTATATCACGCTATTCAAATATTTCTATGTCTTGCTGTAAGAGACTACAACTGTGAATGCACTGTTAGTGAACTGTGAAATAAAGTGTTTCTTTGGTTATGTAGTGTTTTCTTTCCTCAATTTTCTTCTTCTTCCATCAATTCACATTCATCATTGAAGTCAAAGTTCTTATTAGCGTCCCGGATATGTATCGATAGTTTTGATTACATCAACGAACGAAATGTATCAACATATTCGTGGCTGCATGAAAAATTAATCATAATAAAATAAGTGAGCTACAGAGAACATAAGTACATATTTCTCAATAGATTATTAAAAATAGAGTCTATAGCAATAGATTATTATTAATTAACACAAGTAATACTACCGGTATAGCATGTTTTGACAGGTAAATAATAAAAAAAACTCAGTAATTTAAAAAATCGTAATAAGAATATATTATTATATCAAACTATTTATTACTTTATCGTGATGGCGACTGCTGCAAGCATCCGAAACGTTGCCGTGATGGAATTTAATTAAATACACATTAACTTACATATTTGGCTTTTCAAACAGTTAAAAGTGGTTTATTTAAATGTGTACTACAGACAAAACTTATTTATTACTTCTGTATTAGCTTATTTTACTTTTAAATAAAACATATTTAAGTTGTTACACAATCCATATATTTCCAGGTTCTAAGCAGAACTACATCAGTAAAACAATAATGATTAAATGGTTAGGTACATCATGAACTAGAAATAAATTCACGGTAACCATCAAAACGAATGCACCATTAATAACCCTTTACTGACTTGGATATACGTACTTAATATTTATGGACAATTCACAGAACCTTATCACACATAGATACTGGCTTTACAGTTAGGTCGATATAGTATTATAAATATTTTTTAACGCTTATCAATACAGATTACGTTGTACTTTATCAGTCACGTGGTATTGAGAATCAAGTCCAGTCTCTTGG